GATGGCCGAGTCGCGATAATGCGGCTGCCGCTGCGCCTCGCCCGGCCGGCCGCACAAAAGGTCCATACAGCTACCGCAGAGTAGAGAGAAAGAGAGATTTAACGAGATCGCGCGGTGTGTATACGTCGGGGGGGCCTTTCTCTCCTCTCTATTTTACCCTTATATACCACTGCGTGATTGACGTTAAAACACTGCGAATCTCTCTCTTTCTCTCTCTTCCTGTGTATGTATAGGTATGCCTCTACTGTTGACTATATACCGCTTCGCGGCTGCATAGCTATGCATATAAAAAGGGCGCGGTTGGGGCACCAAGACGACGACGACGACAAGCATGCACGCGGTGACTCGGCACTGCAGCAGCGGCGCACACAAGGCTTATATCTCTTCTCTGTGTGTGTGTGTATGTGCGCTGGACATCAGGGCTACCGATAAAAGAGCGAGAGAGAGAGCGAACAATGGCCTGGGATGAGAGAGAGATTTTCTTTCTCTCTCTCTACTCGTGCCGCACGCGCGTAGGTAGAGAAGCGCGAGATCAGCAGCAGCACAGAGCGCGCAAAAGTGCGTATAGAAAGAGAGAGAGAGAGAGAGAGAGGCAGGCCCCGGTAACGAGCGACGAAGGCCGCGACGACGTGCTGCTGTTGCTGCTGCTGCAGAAAAGGCACATAGTAGTATATACGTGGGCCATATATCAAGCCGCTCGCTACTCCCGTGGCGTGTCTGTGTCTGTGTCTGTGTGTGTGTGTGTGTGGAAAGAAAGAGAAAGACCGATAACGAGCTGTACCTTCGGATGCTGCTGCTCTTGCATCGATGTACACTGCGCACAGCGTGTTTAGCATCGCCCTGCCCTTCTCTCTCTCTCTCGCTCTCTTTTACGCTTCGCAGCTCCTTTATGTGTACCATACGTATAAGCTGCATCGCGAGCCCGCGCGTACGGATAATACAAAAGAGAGAGAGAGAGAGAGAGAGCAGCTAGTGTGACATGAATACTATACTATAACCCGTGTATATAGCGACCTTTTTGTATTATATCGCGTTATACGTACTACGCGAGGACAACTGGATGTCGCCTATACATACCTCGTAGCTCGCGAGCCTAGAAGGAGGCGCTTATTGCGGTGCTGCGGGTTGAAGGAATTTGATTATCGGTTGTACTCGCGCGCACAGTGCGGACCGACGCTAGTTCGTAATTATGCCGATTAATTAGATATAAAGTATGCTTCCTCGCATTTTTGCGCGCATCGGGGCTTTTTCTCTAGGCATAACGTATACGCGTAATGCATGTTTAATGAGAGCTAGCTGTATCGTCAATTAATTAAACAGTTGTCCACCATACGCGCAGCTATTGATTCTCTATATATATGTGTGTACTCACCTTCTTGCTTCTTGCTGCTATATCATTTTTATATGTATAGTAAAATGGCAAACCGAACGAAAACTGCAAGAGCCTGTAAAATATTATATATCTAGATGCAGTCTGTGAGCCATGTTCGCATTCCGGAATGATAAATATTATAAGAAATAACGAATATTCGGAATGTGTAAACATTCTTTCATTCCGAAATTTTGTTTGCCTGAATTTTCCATGTTCCGTTTCCATTATTCCGATTTTCAAGCATACCGAATTTTGCACATTCCGAATATTCATTACTCCTAATAATTATCATTCCGAAATGCAAACATGGCTCGATCTCGCGTACATGTACACACATACATACTCAAGGGCTTGACAACGAACGCACATGAGAAAGTACATGAGAGATTTCAGTCGTGCGTGAAAAATGCCCAAAACAAAATAGAGAAAAAATCGCGTTAAATTTAAAAGTGTATGAAAGTCGTAATAAATAATTGTTACGCTATCGTTGCGAGAGAGGCCCGCGCAGGGCGAGCTGCACGAAGAGTAAACACGCTTATTATACCCTGTATACATTTACTAAATACTAAACACAATACATTGGTAATGTATACATCGCGTCGAGCGTCGCAGAAATTGGAATAAACTCGTGCTGTCTCGCGGCACAGTGTCCTTGTCTCGGAGAAAATTTTTGTTCTCAACCCGCGTCGTAAAAAAAAAGAAAATACAAGTGAACGTCATGGATCCAGCCGAGCCAGAACAACCGTCGACGAGCCGCGACATCGTCGGGTCTACCAAGAGACGGCTCAGATCGTTACCGCAGAAAAAATCAACAGGTTGCTTCACATTTATTGATATTTTTTTTTACTTTGGCTTTGAGTTTTAACGTATGAATTTTTTATCGACGCGATTATTTTTTTGTTCAAAAGGCGACGAAGGCAAGTTTGTTTTATATTTACCGGGATCGCGAACCCGATTACTCAACGAGTCGAGTAGGACATTGAGTTCTCCGAGTAGTATCTCACGATCGCCGATCCAGCGGAATCTTAACTCGTTGCCGAGGAGGTCGTCCCCGCGCGAGCAGCCAGCGAGAGCCACCGTGATCGTCTCGCCGTCTCAAAATCGGAACTTGTCACCGTCGGCCGCTGCGAGCCCCATGACTTCCCCGTCATCGATGTTGAAGCAGCCGCATCTGACGAAAAGTACCACGATGTCACCCCCCTCAAGAACAATGACTTCCCCGTCGTCGTCGTCGTCGTCGTCGGTGATTCGGATGAACGGTACCTGTACACCAACGAAGCATAATTTCAACTCGTTGCCACCGGCTGCAAGCTCGACGACCTCCCCGTCGTCGATGTTGAAGCAGCTACATCTGACGAAAAGTACCACGATGTCACCGCCGTCAAGCTCGATGACTCCTCCGTCATCGTCGTCGGCGATTCGGACGAACGGTACCTGTACACCACCGAAGCAAAATTTCAACTCGTTGCCACCGGCTGCAAGCTCGATGACTTCCCCGTCGTCGTCGTCGTCGTCGGCGATTCGGACAAACGGTACCTGTACACCACCGAGGCAAAATTTCAACTCGTTGCCACCGGCTGCAAGCTCGACGACTTCCCGGTCGTCCCCGTCGTCCCCGTCGTCGTCGTCGACGTGGGTTCGGACGAAAGGTACTTGGACACCACCGAGGCAAGATTCGAACTCGTCGCCATCAGTTTCAAGCTCGATGCCTTCCCCGTCGTCGTCGTCGCAAGATCCGGAAACGTCGCCGATCTTGAGGCTGCTTCTGACGAAAGATAGCAAGGTTTCCCCGTCGAAGTACTGGAAGCTGAAGCAGCAGCTGGCGAAAAATCTGAACTCGTCCGAATCGGCCGTGAGCTCGACGACTTCCCCTTCAATCACGGTGGAGCAGTTGGCGATAGGTCTCCGGATCATAACGCCGCCCCGAACACCGTCGAGGTCGGCTCGGAGCTCGCGCCTCGGCCAAAACTGGCGCTCGGCGGCGAAAAAGAAAAACAGCCTCATCGGAAAGCCGACGAAGAAGCGTGGCACCTGCCCGAAATGCCACTGGATCTGGACGGTATGTCAGTGTAGCGGAGGAAACAAAAAAGAAAGAAATTAGGTCGCTACCGATGGTAATCGAATGGCAGGCTGATGTATATATTGTATGTGTGACTGTGTGTCCGTGTATACTTGAGTGTCATCGTTCAGTTGTGATTAGTTATACATTTAAATCGACATACTGCGCGAGTCATGCAAAAAATTTGTTCTTTCATTTTTTTTCAATTTTTAATTAAAGTATGCGTATACGTACGCATGTATATGTAGTATGAATTCGGACAAAAATTGACTTTTTTTTTGTATATTTTTAGTACACTGCGACAGAAACATTGTATGTATAAACCAATTAGTTTGGCCGAATTATTTGACAAAAACAAAATTCTTTCCGTTCATCGAATTAAAGTAGAAATTTGGCTGAAAATGAAATTGAAAGAAAAAGAGAAAAAAGACCCATAGAACGAATAAATTCAGTCAGGATAAACGTATACTGCACTTGCCCTTTTTTTTAAACTATTTTCATTTTAACTTTTTCCACCTGTACCCAAGATATGCTTATGACCTCAGTATGCACGTGAAGAAGAATAGAAAAAGATTTCGCGTATGCGCGAGAGAGCTTGCAAGCACATAGATGTGAATGGAGAGGCGAAGAAGATGAGTCGACAAGTCTAATAAGTTACACACGACGACGATTCGGGGGATCATTTGAACAGTGACAAAAAAAGTAAAAATTCTTTTTAAGTTGCTAGAATTATAAATAAATTTCTTATTTTAACTCGATTTTAGTTAAATAAGCCTTTCATGGGCTACCAACTTTTTACATCATTTTCAATTCTAAACAGCATTATTTTTGGTGTCGATTAGAGCCCGTGACATGGAAGAAAAATTCTGGATTTGCTCAAAATAGTAATGCGAAAAACCGAAAGAAAACTGCAAGCAAGCATGTCTATAGATGGAGTCTATATGTGTCAGCGTGAGTGAAGCCCCAATTTGTTCACTCTTGATGGGAGTTTTCTTGTGAATTTTTGGCATGAAATAACACATTTTGTGTATACCACTGCGCGTGGAAAAGCTCGACTTTGCAACTGAGAAAGAGATAAAATTTGTCCCTTATAAAAGAAGCTCCGTGTAGATAATCGCGGGCAGTCGAAAAATTTGATAAGTACATCTCCAATGTTGCCCCGAAATTTTCCGCGTATAGTATATTTTGAATTATCGCTGAACAAAAATTCTCTTTTGAATGCGCTTCTTTGCAAGGCAATTGCAAACTACTGCAAACTACTAGCTTCGCAGTTTATTATAGCGAGACTTTGAATTTCACTCTACGTTTAATCTGCCGATAATCAGGCTCGATTATTGGAGTTAGATGACGTGATAGCTCCTGCGTGTGCATGAACGCACTCAAGGGCTTGACAACAAACGCACATGAAAAAGTGCACGAGAGCCCAAAACAAAAAATAAAGAAAAACATTCACGTTAAATTCATAAGTGTATGAAAGTCATAATTATAATAAGTCGATAATAATAAGTCGAAAAGTAAACACGCAATTTCGGTCGCGTTTCTTACGCCGTATACATTTACTAAATATAATACGTTGTTGTTACGTACATAGTACCGAGTGCCGCAGAAGTTGGTATAAACTCGTGCTGTCTCGCGGCACAGTGTCCTTGTCTCCGAGAAAATTTTTGTTCTCAACCCGCGTCGTTGAAAAAAAATACAAGTGAATGTCATGGATCTATCCAAGCCAAAACAATCGTCGACGAGCCGCAGCAAGAAAGAAATACAAGAGGACGTCATGGATTCATCCGAACCAAAAAAACAAGAGAACGTCTTGGATCTATCCAAGCCAAAACAACAAGAGAACGCCATGGATCTATCCAAGCCAAAAGCACCGTCGGGAAAGTCAACAGGTTGCTTCACATTTATTCATTTTTTTTTTTTACTTTGGCTTTGAGTTTCAAAGTACGAATTTTTCATAACGCGACTGTTCTTTTACTCAAAAGGATTAGACAACGAATTGGGTAGGAGATGGAGTACTCCAAATAGTGTCGCACGATCGTCGAGCCAACAGAAACTTAACTCGTCGTTGAAGAGGTCGTCCTCGCATGAGCAGCCGTTCAGAGGTACTGCGATTGTATCGTCGACCCAAAAGTTGAAATCGTTGTCATCGGCTACAGGCTCGATGACTTCCCCGCCGTCGTCGCCGACCATGAAGCGGTATATTCGGACGAACAGTGCCCCGATATCACTGGAGGGAAATCGGAACTCGTCGCGGACGGCTGCAAGCTCGATGACTTTACCGCCGTCGTCATCGTCGATCTTGAAGCCGCCTATTCCGACGAAAAATACCTCGATGTCGCCGAAGCAAAATCTGAGCTCGAAGTCATCAGCTGCTATCCCGATGGCTTCCCCGTCGTCGAGCTTGAAGCAGCTGTATCTGACGATAAGTACCTCGATGGCCCCGAAGCAAAATCTGAGCTCGACGCCATCGACTGCAAGCTCGATGATTTCCCCGCCGACGTCATTGTCGATCTTGACGCAGCATATTCCGACAACAAATACGTCAATGTCGGCGACCCAAAATCTGAACCTGACGCTACCGTCACGTGTTCGGCCGAAAGGTACCTGGATACCACCGAGGCAAGATTTGAACTCGTCGACATCGTTTGTAAGTATTGCTCGTAAGAATTCGAAGAATAAAACCTCGATGTCACCGATCAAAAATCTGAACTCGGCACCATTGGGTGCACATCCGATGGTTACTGGGTCGAAGATGTCGAATCTGAAGCCGAATGAGACGGATAACACTTCGATGTCGCCGACCAAAAATCCGAACTCGACGCCATTGGTTGCAACGCCGAAGGCTTCCCCGTCAAAGATGTCGAATCTGAAGCAGAAGCGAACCAATAATATTCCGATGTCACCGAAGCATAATCTGAAATCGACGCCATTGGTTGTAATCCCGAAGGCTTCTCCGTCAAAGATTTTGGATCTGAAGCAGAATCAGACGATAAATACCTCGAAGTCGCCGACCAAAAATCCGAACTCGACGCCATTGGTTGTAATCCCGAAGGCTTTCCCGTCGAAGATGTCGAATCTAAAGCAGAATCAGACGGATAATGCCTCGATGTCGCTGACCCAAAATCCGAACTCGACGACTTCTTCGTTGTTCGCATTGGAGCAGATGTCACAAAATATCCAGATCTCGTCGAACCCAGATCCGAACTCGACGCAATTGGCCGCGACGCTGATGCAGGAGTTGGCGTTAAATACCTCCTACCCGGAAACCGTCGAGCCCAGCTCGGAGCTTGCGGGACAAAAGCCGCCCGCTGGCGACGAAGCCGAAAAAGATAAAAAGTCGTTAGAAAATCGACGATGAAGCCTGGTCCGCGCACGTGCCCGAAGTGCCACTGGAGGTTGAAATATTGCCCGTGTGACTGAGTCTAGCAGAGGCCTAAGTCTTTTAAAAATGTTCACCTGTGTATAGCAATTTGTGACTGTGTCGTAATACATATAATTTATGTAGTTTTTATGTGTGTGTGTGCGCGCGCCTTTATGCATTCTTAAAAGTTTTAAATCTAAATCGATATACTGCGCGAGTTCGAGACATTTTCTGTGCGCGAGTCATGCAAAAAAAATTGTATTTTCACATGTGTATGTAGTATGAATTCGGACAATAATCGACATTTTTTTGTGTGACAGAAACATTGTATGTACAAACGAATTAATTTGTCCGAATTATTTGACAAAAACAAAATTCTTTCCGTTCATCAAATTAAAGTAGGAATTTTGTCGAAAATTTAATGAAGAAAAAAGAGAAAAAAGACACATAGAACGAATAAATTCAGTCAAGGTAAACGTACACTGCACTTGCGCTTCTTTAAACTATTTTCATTCTACTTCCTTCACCTACACCTTCAAGATCTTCTTCGCGGCGCTCAGTATAAATGTGGAAGAAGAAGAAGGGAAAAAGATTTCCTGTGTGTTCACGAATTTTTTTACGTTTCTAGGACCCCAAAGAACGATTTGCCGCGACCCTTACTGGCGGAACACGAAAAATTTTTTTGAGTCGATTTTAGCCCGCGAAATGTAAGAAAAATGTTGGATTTGCTCGTACAATAAACTGTTGCGCTTGCGTAATAATAAACCATCGGGACTTTTTATAATAAGGTTTCGTCGGGCGTCAGTCGTTTATCGCATTTGCGGTACGCACGCTTTTCTCTATATACGCGCGTCAAGTAATTTGTTTAAAATTACGACTTTTACTTCTCGCTCGCTCGCCAGCGCGCGACTTTAAATTATTTTAAAAGCCGCTGAATTTCCCAATGATTTATGTACTTATTGTTTTTCAGAGGCTACATAGAGAAAAAGCTCTGCAATGCAGAGGTAACATAGTATATAGAGAGATGAAAAGACTCGAAGCCGGGGATATATACAGTAAATTACGCCTCGCGCGTTATCTCTTTTTTTATGTCTACTTATACTATACTATATCGGCCGTATCGCGTTCCGATTCAAAGGCAAAAAAACAAATCCCGATTCGATCTATACAGAAATCGTTGTTAAATATATATACGCCGAAGATCAAGGCATAAAAGCACCTATGAATCGAGTCGTCGAAATGGAAATATTTTCGTCGAGGCCGCCGCCGCCGCGCATATAATGAAGATATTTTTAATAAAATATGCCTCGCGTTAATTAACTGAAATCCTCTTCGGGGCCAAGGCACGTATACGCATGTATAATATGATTCCTCTATCGAAACTGCTGTTGCTGTCTGCGGATATACCCGGAGCAAACGGCAGCATATCCAATCAGCAGTATATAATAAAAAAAAAGGATAGAGAGAGAGAGAGAGAGAGAGAAGAGAGAAGAAAATAACCGGCAAAAATAAGAAAGGCAGCAGCAGAGGCGCGTCGCGAGCGAGCATTGAAAATCGGCATGTTATCGGATACATATATAAATGGCAAGAATCGCATAATCAGTGTACAGTGGAATATATACTCGCTTCGCAATAACCCATGCGCGCTCACTGAAGATACCGCCGTGGCCGCCGCTGCTGCTGCTGTTACATACTGAGGCACTACTGCACAGGCCTCGCCCAATTATATAGCACTATAGACCTCTCTGATTCTTCTTTCCATTCTGCCGTTCTCGTTTGCTTTTGCTTATGCTGCTTGTCTTCTTTTTTTGCTTTGCGACTCGACCCTTGGCGCAAGAACGCGAAAGAGAAGAAGGTTTGCGCGCGCATATATAACTATATCTCGCATCGATAAGCGACAAATCAGAAGAATCCGGAAAAGTACGAACAATATGTAAATGGTCGGAGAGAGAGCTCCTCTATATAGTTAAAGCCCTCTGCGCAGTCAGAGGTATACAGGTATGAGGAGATAGGGGAGGAGGAGTGAGAGAGCAAAGGAGGAGAAGAAGGAGTGTATGTATGTGCACACACGCGCAAGATCAAAAGGATTACACCGCGAATCGGCGCGACCTTTATTTACCTTTTCTCCTTCCTTCTTTTTTTGTCCTTTTTTTTCTTTTCTTTCCCTTTTTTTTTAATCCGCGCTCCGCGTCCAACACATACTACCACTCGTACACTCACAAACATACATATATACAGAGAAGATTTGAAAAAGGCAAAAGAGAGGAGAGAGAGGCCAAAAAGGAAGAGGAACGCTTGTATATAAGCTGCGCGCATATCTGTATAGCCGAGCGAAAGAGATGAAAAAAGACGCGCGGGGTAAAGAAAAAAAAATGAAAAAATAAATAAAAGGTTGCAGCAGGCTCGGTGCACTGCAGCAACAGCAGCGGCAGCAGCCCACCGAGAGGCTGCTGCTGCTGCTGCAGAAGCCGCTGCAGGTGAAGTAAGGCACGATAATTGCCGCGCGCGCCCGTTTCTTCTCTGCTGCTGCTCTCTGTACTCTGCGCTGCAGCAGCAGCAGCAGCAGCAGCAGCAGCAGCAGAGGCGAGCTTATAAATGTGTATACGTGTCCGTGGCAGCAGCATATGCCCCCTTTAAAAGAGGAATATATAGTATATCTATATGTGTATATTGAGGGCCCGCGAGGCCTTATACGCTTATACGCTTGACCGTATGTAAATTTGCACGCCGCGGTGGTAATGCCACCACCACCACCACCACGCAGGGAGTCAAACCTGCAGCAGCAAAGAGGAACAGGAGGAGGTGTACGTACGCATTGTTTCAACTATATATACTTACTTGTATGCTGATGTTGTTACTGTTGCTGCTGCCGCTGCGGCGATACAAAAAAAAAACAACGAGGAGGACATCTCAAAAGCGCGTCGTTGCGCGACTTACTACACAGCACACACGTTTATCCCTTTGATTTATGCCGTGCGCGGTGCAGAACCTATATACTCTTTTACCTTGCACACTCCCGTCTCTGAAGCGAACGTCTCGTTTGACACGCTCGAGAATGAGCTAACTATGTGTACGATGATGCCTGACGCAAACGATGACTGAATGATGATCGTTGGAGCTCGGTTCTTGACGCTTAGAAAATTTAAGATAATCGTGGATATTTTTTCATTTCAATTTATTCACTTTAATACCATGGAAAATAATAATATAGAAAAGTTGCATAATTCAATGATATCGGACAAAAAAGTACTTCAAACACGGTTTATTAATCGCCATCGTCAACTTCGTTTTGATTCGGATCCGCCGCCATGACGACAGCCCGCAAATCGTAGTTCGACAGCATCTCGAAGATCGTGTCGCGGCACAGAACGGGCAGTAGGTCGAACATCGAGTCCGCGACGGCGAACAGCGCCCAGCGCCGAAAGAAGCCTCTGGTCGATTTCTCGCACAGGTGCACGGCGCAGGCCAGCCTGTGCACCTGGGGTATCTTCGCCCACTCGCTGGACAGGGCGAACTCGTAGTAATCCATGTAATTCAGCCGATCTTCCGCCTGGTCGGCGTGCGTCTGCATCGCGTCGTAGAGCGACACGTCGGCGCTGATCATTATCTCTCTGGCTCGTCGCATGAATTCCTCATTGCGATGGCAGCGTCGAAATCTCGCGCGATCCCGGGGCTGCTCGTAGATCGAGTTGAAGGCGAACATCTTCATGAGCCGCAGGGCTTCGATCAGGTTCATCGCGTATCCTCGCGCCTCGAGAAGCTCGACGCAGGCCAGTGCGCCCGAGGCTAGCCTCAGTAATCGAGCGTTGCTACAAATGTCCAATTCTCCGATTCCGGAGAAAAGATCCTCTTCGGGGAAAACGAAGTGCGATACGTCGGCGCCACGATTCAAGAGAACGTCGACCACGTGGGGCCGGAATCTCGTCACGGCCCATTGCAGCGGTGTCACGCTCAAATTGTCCTCGGCGTCCACCTGCACAACCTGATTGACCTCGGCGCAGACGTTGAAGAAAGTATCGATCAAGTCGTCCTCCTTGTCTCGCTTACAAATGATGTGCAGCGCCGTCTGTCCCTCCGCGTTGGCTAAGCTCGAATCGGCGCCTCGTCTCAACAGATACTCGACCACGTTCTTGTTGCCTTTACTCACGGCCAAGTGCAGCGGAGTGTTACCTTGATTGTCCTGAGCATTGATCAGCACCGGATGATTATTTTCACGGCTGAGCTCGAAAAACGCATTCACAAGGTCTTGGTCGTAGTCTCCCTTGCAGATCGCGTGAAGGGCCGTCGATCCCTCCGCATTGGCCAAGTTTGGATCGGCGCCCTTTCGAAGCAGAAATTCGCCCAAGCTTCGGAAGTTGCCCTTGGACACGGCCAACAGCAGCGGAGTGTTGCCCTCGTTGTTTTGGGCATCGATCAGCACCGGATGATTATTTTCACGGCCGAGCTCGAATATTATGCTGGCCAATCTGTCGCGAGTCCACAGCTCGCAGACGTGGTGCAGAGCCGTCCTGCCCGCGGCGTCGACCGAATTCGGATCGGCGCCTCCTCGCAGCAGCGACGCGATCACCTTGTCGTGGCCGCCGCTCACGGCCAGGTACAGCGGCGACTGGCCCTGATCCCGCCAGAGGCAATCGTTGGGATCCACCCGGCCGTGGTCGAGGAATCGCTGCACGGCGTCGTTGAAGCCCTTCCAGCAGGCCACGTGGAAGTGCGTCAGGCCGGACTCGTCGACGTAGTTGACGTCGCAGCCGTCGTAAATCCGCAACAGATGCCTGATCACGACGGAATCCCAGTTTTTTCCTATCGCACGATGGACCAGGGTGGTGCGACGCGGCGATGGTCTGCCGTACTGGTTCAAGTCGGTGGGTTGGTCCTTGTAGCCGCTGGCCGACACGAACCGAATGAATTGCTCGGCCCGTTCGCGATCGTCGTCCCTGATCAATACGGCCTGCGTGAGAAAGTAATCGATCGCCTCGGCTCGGAAGATGTCTCGGAGATTCGGAGGTAGACTGACAGCGCTGTAGTCCCAATCCCATGTCAAGTCCAGAAGACGACAGAAAAATGGGTACCGCTCGTCTTCGACTGCCCAATTGAAATTTACGCTCATAGTCGGCAATCTTGCGTATATTTTTTGATTATGATAATACATCGGGGCGTAGTCTTCGTCATCGGACATGTCTTCATCGGACCAGAGGTCGTCGTCGTCTATAGCTACATCCATGTCCATTTCCATGTCCATAATTACGTGCACACAAAAAACACACACGCACAAAAGTGACTTAACAATAATCTACTTTTTCTTCTTTATCGCGAGAATCACTCGGCGTCCGTCGATGTGCGATCTTTCTTGGATATTCACGCTGCGAAGTCGTAACGAGTACTGAGTACGACACAGATCACTGTCGCGTCTTGTCGCAGCAGGAACAAGCCAACACACTCGAAAGCCTCGGCCAATCGTAGCGCGCGAAAGACTAGATTCTCCGAACCCTGCGCACTGATAGAACAATCGAGCTGACACCGTCACACCACGCGACGTCGCGGCGCTAACGCTCGAATCGCCGTGGCGCTGTTATTTGCGCGCGTAAAGTTGCAAATTCTCTATCATCGAGTGTCTCGCACTCGATTCAACGAGTGTCTGACACCCGATGCGACCTAGTGTCCGCTACATTTGGTGATGGCAGCTCGATTGTTCAATCAGTGCAGATGCTGCACATTACGAAATTCTGTCGCGTTGGCTTGTTTTTCGAGCTACGTGTACTCTTACCTTTCAGTACTTGGAACTAAACGTCTTTTGTCGTGTCAAGGAAATTGGCGTAACTTAAATGATGACTGGATTAATATGATCGTTACAAACCTTTACTGCTTTTTATCTAGATATTGAAAATTTATAATAATAAAATTTAAAATATTATAATAATTGAAAATGAAAGGCTAAGGTGCAGTGGACATGCATGTAAAATTTAAGACATTGTCTTTCAATTGATTATGTGGGTGACAACAGAAAATCAGAAGCCTTTTTATTTTTCATTTTAATTTATTTATCTTAATGACATGAAAAAAAACTGCATAATCTAAAAACATCAGAAAAAAAAATACTTCAAATATGCTTATGAGGTTTGGCTCGTAGCTCCCGCTATAATAATACACCCCAAATCTTGGTTCGTCAGCGGATGATCGATGATCATGTCACAGCAGAGAATCGGCAGCCGATCGCCCATTAACTCCAAGAAGGTATTCATCGCCCAGCGTCGGAAAAATCCTCTGGCCAACTTCTCGCACAGGTGCACGACGCAAGGCCAGAGATATCCCCATACGGGAAACACTTCCAACTTTTTCGTACAAGCGAGTTCGAAGTACTCCATGTACGTGACTCGATTTTCCGCCTCTTCGGTTCGCAGCTGCATCAAGTCGTAGAGCGACAGATTTGGATTGATCATTATCTCTCTCGCTGTTCTCACGAACGCCTGGCTGCGCCAACAATTTTCAAGCTGTGCCGGATTCTCGGGATACAGGAACAATCGGTTCTTAGCGAAAAACTTCGTAATCGTTATTGCGCCGCTTCGATCCAACCCGTATCCTCGTCTCTCTAGGCGCTCGAGAACGGCCAAAATACCAGAGGCTTGTCTCAACAGTTCAGATGCAGTGAATTCGTAATCATCCTCGAGAGCGGCGTAGAAGTGATCTCCTGCAGGAAAAGTGAATTGGGACACGTCGGCGCCACGATCCAAGAGCACATCGACCGCGTGTGGCATGAGATACACTACGGCCCATTTCAGCGGTGTCATACCCTCGTTGTCCAATACATCGATCCGCACAGTCTTCTGAAGGTCGTCGTGGATATTGAAGAAAAAATCCACCAGGTCGTCGTCCTCAATTCTCTTGCAAATGATGTGCAACGGTGTCAATCCTTCTGCATTGGCTAAGCTCGAGTCGGCGCCTCGTCTCAACAGGTACTCAACCACGTTCTTGTTACCACAAGCCAGAGCTGTGTGCAACGGCGCGTTGCCACCTACATCCTGGGCATCGATCAGCACTTGATGATTATATTCAAGGCTGAGCTCGAAAAACGCGTTCACAATGTCTTGGTTGTAGTCTCTCTTGCAGATCGCGTGAAGAGCCGTCGATCCCTTTACGTTGGCCAAGTTTGGATTGGCACCCTTACGAAACAGCGATTCGATCACTGTTCTTCCGTTGAACTCGGCCGTCACCGCGAAGTGTAGCGGCGAATCGCCCGTTTCCCGCACGAGGAGATTGGGATCCTGCCCGAGCCTCAAGAATTTATCGACGACGTCGTAGCAGCCGAACTGGCAGGCAACATGGAAATGCGTCAGTCCGGACTCGTCGACGTAGTTGACGTCGAACCTATCGTAAATATCGAACAGGTCCGAGACGACCCTGGGACGAGTGTCTTCGGCCGATGCATGATGCAGTGCCGTGGTTCGACGTAACAATGGCCTGCCGTCCTCGTCTACGTCGGGTTGGTCCCTGTAGTGGGCGCGCAACACAAACTTGATGAACTGCTCCCCTTGTAATCGTAAATGGTCGAGCCTGTTGATTACGGACTCCTTGAGAAGATATTCGATTTGTTCGGGCCGAAGTATGTCTCGGATATCTGGTAGATATCTTTCCCAGTGGTAGATCCAACCGATTGTCAAGTCGACAACTTCACAGTAGAACGAATATCGCTCTTCTACGAGCTCCCAGTTGAAATTTTCGCACTCTCTCCTCAATCTTTCTAAAGTTTCTTGGTTACGACGATCCACCTCTTCGAGCTCATAGCCGTTGGCGTCGTAACTATCGTCCGAGTCATCGAACAAATTTACCATCATATTCATGTCCACCATCATGCGAACTCAAACAACAGACACGAGTCACTTATAAAATGAAAAACTTCTTTTGGTATATATAGAATTACTTGTCGTCGATACGATCTCTCGATGGTGTTTGCGCTGCGGCGTCGTAGCACGTACTGAACAAGCGCGTGTGCGAGAGGTGTCGTTTATCGAGAAAAACTCTGTACTTACGCAGCGCCGCCGCAAGAGAGAGAGACCGAGTTACACGAAGCGGCATGACGTTACAATTGATCAAGCGCCGAGCAGAAGTCGCTCGTCTCATGCGCGCAGATGCAATACGATTCGATCCTCTTCGCTTGTTTTTCGCAAGTTTTAACGCGTCTCGAAAAGTTTCAATTGAAATAAAAGACGAGATAAACCAAGTACGATTTTTATTATTGCTTGCAATAAAATTTTAGATTCTACGAATTTCAACTTTTTCGCTCACAAACATTGTTTTAATAATAGCGGCTAATGCTACTCGTTGATACGAAAGTTCACACAGTTACACGGTTGTATTCGATTATGCCAAGGGACAAGCTGCGCATTTCTACCTTTCTTTCACTCAAGAAAACGTCGAATTATACGTTGAATGATGACTATTGACGGACTCGAATTATTGTTATTCATTTTTATTGCTTTCGTGTGCGGCCTCGATGTGAAAAATATTTACTGGATCAGAATAAAGGCGAAGGTGCCGTATAAAGAATATTAAATTCAAGATTATGATTGAGGATGCATTGAATAAAAAAATAACTATGTTTTTATACTTCAATCTAATTTATTTAAAATAATGACATGGAAAAATCTGTCAAGTTTTATAACATGGGCTAAAAAATATGCTGAAAAAAATTCTAAAAATAATGTTCACATCGTATCGCCATCGCTAATTTTCCACCGTAGCCGACATACAAATGAGCCGCAAATCTGCGTTCGTCAGCCGCTCGACGATCGCGTCGCAGCAGAGATACGGCAGTCGATCGCGCGTCAGCTCCAGCAGAGAGTTCAGCGCCCAGCGACGGAAGAATCCTCTGGCCAATTTCTCGCACAGGTGCACGACGCAGGCCCGCAAGTGCCTCACCGGCAGGTGCGCGTGCAACTTTTTCTTGCACGCGAGCTCGTGGTATTCGATATAAGCGAATCGATTCTCGGCCTCTTCGGGTCGCAACAGCATCAGCTCGTAAAGCGACAGACCCGGACGTATCTTCAACTCGTTGGCTCTTCTTACGAAGTCTTGATCGCGCCAATAGTTCTCGAGCTCCGCGAGATCCTGGAACAATCGGTTCCTATGGAAAAACGTCATGATCATGAGGGCGTCGCTTCGGCCTAGCTCGTATCCTCGTCTCTCTAGGCGCTCGATCACTGCCAAAATACCAGACGCCTGTCTCAACGGTTCAGATGGATCATATTCGTAATCATCCTCGTAATCATCTTCGTAATTATCCTCGAGAGACGCGTAAAAGTAATCTTCTGCAGGAAAAGCGAAGTTGGATACATCGGCACCTCGATCCAACAGAACGTCGAGCACGTGCGGCAGGAGATTCACCACGGCCCACTTCAGCGGTGTCATGCCCTCGTTGTCCAATTTATCGATCTGCACGGTCTGCTCTAGTTCGTCGTTGATATCGAAGAAAAAATCCACCAAGTCGTCGTCCTCTTCGCTCTTGCAAATGACGTGCAGCGGCGTCAGTCCCTCTGCCTCGGCCAAGTTCGGATCCGCCCCTTGTCTCAGCAGCAATTCGACCAAGCGTTTGTGGCCGTTGTCAAGAGTCAAGATGAGCAGAGTGTTGCCCTCGTTGTCCTGGACATTGACCGGCACTTGATGATTATTTACACGACTGAGCTCGAAAAACGCATTCACCAGGTCTTCCTCGTAATCTCCCTTGCAGATCAGATGGAAAGCCGTCGATCCCATGTCGTTGAGTAAATTTGGGTCGGCGCCTCCGTTCAGCAGCGACGCGATCACTTGCCTGAGTCCGTTGGCCGCGGCCATGTGCAGCGCCGTATCGCCCGTCGCCGGCCAGCGCCGATTCGGATCGTGGCCGTGCTCGAGGAACCGGTCGACGATGTCCGAGCATTGCTTCCAGCAGGCCACATGGAGATGCGTCAGGCCGGACTCGTCGACGTAATTCACATCGAATCGATCGTAGATGTCGAACAGGTTCCGAACGAAGTCGGGTTCCACGGCGAGCGCCAAGTGCACCGGTGTGCGGCGACGCGGCGAAGACAATGGATTGCCGTTCTCGTCCACGACGACCGCGGCGGCGGGTGGCTCGTCCTTGTAACCGCCACGAGCCACGTTCTCGATGAATCGCTCCTTCTGAAAGTATCTGTGGTCGATCCGGTCGATCACCGACTCGATGAGTAATTGCTCCATCTCCTCGGGCCGAAAGATATCTCGGAGGTTCAAGAATCCGCTGTTCCAGTCGTAGGTCAAATCGGTGAGACGGCGATAGAACTGATATCGCTCCTCCGTGGAGGCCGCCTCCCAGTCGAAATTCGCACGCAGGCTTCTCAATGTTTCGTGGCGTTCACGCTGGAGACGAAGAGCCCTTTCCGCGGCGTTGTTGTAGTCCCTCTGGGCTTGGATCATCATGAGGAGATCGTCGAAGAACACGTCGT